ATACATTGTCTACCTGTTCCTTTGATTTTAAAGGAACATTGACTTATCTTGTAAACATAAGATACGTCAATTAAACCATTTCTAAAAAAATCCCGCCTGATTACGAGCTCAAATTCAGTATATTCAGTATGTGATGGGACTTACATCGATCTCCAAAGTAAAAACTTCCCCATTTATTATCACGTCTGATTTAGTTAAAAGAGAGGCTTTTTTGGACCAGAAAACAGAAGCGACTTAAGGGCCCTCTAAANGCGAATGATTGAAGATTTAGTTCTTATTTTCTGACCGTTGTTTCATGGGAATAAACTTCATTCATTCGTAATTTAGAGCTTTGTCTTTTCGATTGAGTTTTCATTCACTCATTGCTAGACAGCCGCGAGAGAGTGAAGTGTATGTTGACTATAAGTACTAACAATTCATGTTCATTCAATCAATGTTCCTAAGTAGGTACTTTGTCTACCTCTTCCTTTGATATTATAGAAACATTGACTTAACTTGTAATCTTAAGATACGTCAATTAAACTGTATCTAAAAAAACCCGTCTGATTGTGCTCAAATTCAATATATTCAGTATGTGTGATGGGACATCGATCTCCAAAGTAAAAACTTCCCCATTTATTATCACAGCTGATTTTTAAGAGAGACTTTTTTGGACCAGAAAACAGAAGCGACTTAACGACCCTCTAAAGCACTCGGTCTTTACGACAATCAGGCTCAATCCTTGACTTAAGCCATAATCTCAGATATGAGATATGAAAATATTAAACTCTAAGCGAAACCAGTAGCCCGACCAATCAATCAACTCGTCCGTTAAGCTGTGATTAGACCGTTTTATATGTTAATAGCCATTGCAATTAGCCAGGCATCCATCATGAAGTTATTTTCGATTAGTTTCGTTATACCTAACTGCTACCGCTTTTATTGGCGTGGATGAACATTCGGCGGTCAAGTTTAAGGCCATTTTATATGATCTCCTATTATTAATAAGTTATTTATTACGTCATTACGGTTATTATTTTTTATATCAAAGTCATTGAGACTTGGAAAAAAATATTTTGAATTTAGTTTGAGACCAAAAATAATCGTTGTAATTAGGTATGTAGGATGTAACGTATTTGCTGTGAATTTGTACTTCTGTTATAAACATTAATGTAGAAAGAAAGTAATCTCTAGAACTACTGAACTGATTTTGATGATTCTTTCATCAGTAGAAAGCTACATTATTCCTTAGAAACTTAGGCTAAGTAAAGAGTTTTTCAGAAATTCAACGATTTTGTTTAATTGGATAATATGCAAAATCGTGCAAGTTATGTATGTATGTTTGCAATAGCACACACATACCTATAAGAACCCAGTCATCTCTCCTCAACATTGAACAAGAAATATGACGCCTTGAGAATTGATTGCGATATTAATTATTGTCGTATACGACAGCGTTTTAATTATTGTCGTAAGCGATAGCGTTAAAAATACACTTCGGAATTAAAGCGACGACTTCATACACTCCTGCGCAGGATATTGATGGGTGCCACAGACTTGCAACAAAATTAATAGTCTTGACTAAAAGTCGGTATGTAAACATTACAATGGAGAGAAAAGAGCTGTGCATCAATTTATTGTCAAACCAAAAAAGCGTCACATCTGTGTTGCCAGACAATTTTTTTTAATTTGTTACCTATGTAGTATGATGTTAAGAAATGGCTACTGTAAATTGCACTTGCTTTCGTTTTAGAACTAAGTTATTTTTTTGGCCCTATCTCATACCTCAGCGATAATTATATCATAAAATAAATCATCTCGCGTCCTTTAATCACCTGCTAAACAAATCTTGTGATTACCCCACAAGTGTGAACTCGCCATAAGAGCGTTTTACACTCTACGACTTCACCATGACATGGTGAGATAATATTCATATACCTACCTACGTTAAATTGTTTAGCGCAGTTTCTGTACCTTCAGTTTGAAAATTCAAAAGTGCAAAAATATGTATGATAGTTCTCATACTAAGGGAGATATTTTTTTTTGGTAAGCTTGAGACACAATCGAATTTTTCCGAAAATTTTTCACAAATATAGAATATCATAAACGTAGGTATTCACCATATTTCTGGCACACTAACCCCCTTACTAATAAAACTTACACGCTCGTTGAACAGTGTTTTAAAGTGACGTGTAGTATGGAAATGTCATTTTAAAACAGTGTTCAACAACTGTGTAACTTTTTATTAGTAAGGGGGTTAGTCACTTGTTCCTTGACGAAAAAGCGACTAAGGCCTGGTTTTTGAATTGAGATTTGTAGCTTCAATACTCAATAGTTTATTGCTTCCATAATGTTCACAAAAGATGTTATTGGTAACGTAAGATACAATTATTTATTTATTTATTTAAAGACTTTATTGCACACACAACAATGTTCAGTACAAAAAGGCGAGCTTAATGCCATAAGTCATTCCCTACCAGCTGGACCCTGTCGGGCACTGCATTTTAGGAGAGAGGAAGCTTGAGCGTGCTCATCTTCTACTTCTTCGCCTATGCAACTTCGTATACCAAATCGTGCCGTGTAAATCCCCTCAGGCGGTGCACACACCGGCCGATAATTAAAGAGGCCAGTGGATGATAAATAACGAACTGTCGGTGTTTTTGCCGCAGATGTCATTACCTCGACGGACTCTATCAGTCCGCGCGAGATTAAGGGATGTGTGTAGAGATGGTATCACCGATTGAGACATTAGTAAGTTGTAGGAGACGAGGAAAAAAACAGGACGACGCCCAAAACTTGATTTGAGTATCAATATGCTCAATATTTAAAGTAATCACAGGACAATCTATGACTTATATTGAATCGAGTTTGTAGTGTTTTTTCATAATAGAGAAAAAGCCTTTAGACAAACAGCGTGTCTTGTATTTTTATGATGAATTTGAGGTTCTAAACAATTTATTTTAATTTATGACTAGTTAATAGATGACTTTATTTCCAAGAAAACGACTTTTATTTTATCAATGCTCATAAACATAAATGCCAAATTGAATTAAAACCATTTTAAACATTTTTGAACTTAAAAAAACATCTGTAAGTTAATTCAGAAACTGAAAAAGAAAGCTTAATAAAATCATGCTTAAATATTTCTTAATAATTTAAGAGTAGGTGTAGTACCTTCATCACTTGTGTGGTAACAACTCTATACACAGAATAAGTAAACAAAAGCTGAAAAAGTGTGTTATTTTTTACTTTTTTAAATCTTTCAGTAAGATGTAGGCATAATGTACATCACTTGTGTGGCTCTAACAACTCTATACATATCCCGTTCACGACAGCGTAGCGCATGTATAATCGAGAGGGTCGACTTGATGAGAGTGCGTGAGAGCTTTTTGCTGTGCGCGCGCACCCGCCCGAAAAACAAATAATTGGCTGGAAAAAATGTCGCCTTATTGCTTGTTAATTTTTAGACGTTACTTTTTAGATTGCTCGGCTTTCTCTGGTGATGACTCAAATACAGGTTAGAGGTTCGAATCCTGTTAGAGGCAAATGTTAGTGTTATGAGCACTATAAGCACGTTATGCTAACACTATGGCATTTTATGTAGTTATAATAGGGCGATTTTCCAATAAAAATGTATAGTTTGATATGTGCTGTCGACTGTACATTAATATTGACGTTATTGCTGGTAAAATGTAATAATTATATCGAGAAAACTAAAATGTCTTTTTTAACCTACAAAGAAATAAAAAATATTAATCAGAGCTTAAACAAAAAAAAAAGTATAATATTGGATAGATCTTTTACACAGTTTAACTTTTGAGTCTTTCGTCATAAGCTTTACATATAAAAGTCTATAATGCTAATTTGACAAAACCTACAAATCCAGATGCAATCCAATGACGTAATTCAAAAATAAATATCATAGCAATCAACGCGTGGCGTAAAAACTGTAAATTACATCGCAGGAACGCAATAAACAACACCTCAGACAATCGGACACGGCTCAAATATATTAAAAAACACTATTTATGGTGCGAGGCCTCCATACTCTCACTACACGAGGTGGGACGCCACAGAGTTGCGACGCGCGACTGTTACGTCATTGTCACTTACAAGCTTTTGACCGCGTGAAGTTTTATGGCACAGAAAAAAAATTGTCGCACGAGTCCCTGATACAAAAACCAGGATAAAAACTGTCCTATCTCCTTTTTCGGGACTCAAAATTTTAGGTTAGACTCAAAGGTTTAGTGGTTTAGGCGTGAAAGTGTAACAGACAAAGAGTTACTTTCGCTATTATGACATTAGTAGGGATTCTGTTTTACACATGAGAATGAACAACTATATTTTCTTAACGCCACCACTTTAGTAATTAGTCTCTTGATGACTATCAACATGTGAAATGCAGTTAGTTTATTCATATCTTAACAACCAGCTACAATCTAGTTAAGTAAAATAATTACAATAACAAGCCACGAAGCTGTATCGCAGACATAAAAAAACCTTAACTAAAGTAACTTCATTTTCACTCAACGGATATGTCTTTTAGATTTCATAGGATATGTTGCTGGCAGTTTTGCCAGCAACCCTTTTTGATATTTGTTTATGATTTTTTTTTACTTTTTTATTGAGATTTTTTCGTTTGGTTTTTGAAGTTTATTTTACTGTCTTGTCTTACTTTACTTATAGTCTGCTAGGCCCTAATTTGGAGGTTTTCATAAATAAACATTGCTGCATATAATCATCTACTCGTATATCAGATTACGTATGCTGCGAAAAATATGATTAGCTAATTATTTTCTGTTTTTCATAATATTCCAAAATAAAATTCTATGCTGTGCAGGTGTTCTACTAAACTAAATTTGTCTACAGTCGCATTTCTGTGGCGGCACATTCAAGTCCCATTGCTTAATTACACCAGCTGAAAACCCATTTTGTGTATTTCGAAATTGTGACCAGATAAATTTTTTGCGCTAATTTTAGTTCGCAAACTGAAATTATAAAGATATTATTTTTATTTGCAGATGATGGAGTTGTCACAGGCTCATTAGGACGGAAGAAGGGTGAGTAAGTTTGTTTGTCTACACTTATACACTAATATTATAAATAGGAAATAATCCTTGGACATTTTACCCTGCTGCGCCGCTAGTCCCAAACTAAGCAAAGCTTGTACTATGGGTACTAGACCACAGATATAATAAACTTACTTTTTTTTGTAAATACCAGTTTATTAAAGATAGAAAACACACACATTAAATACCATTTCACACGTACAATTAACATTTCATACCATAAACACCATGTCAGCGTTTGCATGTACGCAATCAATATTTAAACTACTCCTCACCTATATGTATCAGATAATCTACAAACCATACAAATTAACCATAATTAAAATAATTGAATTTAGCGTGAAACATAAATTCACTATGTGCCTCAGGGGCTACAGGAGACGCCCATTAACCTTTACTGCAATAAATGTCTCCAGCGGTTCAGTCGTAGTCGTAAATAGAAACATTTTTCTCACCGTTTAACACAAAACATAATGATTGGGTGGATTAAGCTTGTCACTAGGGCTGCCACTTAGAAAACACGTGAGGATACAGAGTAAAAATGGTTGAAGCGTACTCAACTTTTAGGCTGGGTTGCACCATCTTACTTTAACTTTGACAAACGTCAAAAATCTGTCAAACTCCATACAAAAAACACCGATTATCGTTATAGTTACGGTCAAAGTTAGGTGGTGCAACTCAGCCTTAGTTACTGTATACTAATAATAACTTGCTTTAACCGACTTCAACAAAAGGAGCACGTTCCCAATTCAGTTGGTTTTTTCTTTAGACCAATAGTATAGAGCTACAAATGGATTTCTTTAATTAATGCAAGTTTTGAAAATTTGAAAAAAAAAAGCTTAAAACCTGATATCACCTGATAGTAAGAGTTTGGCATGACTTCATCAAGGGCCTGGTAAAGCTTCTAGACTAGCTTTTCACCATTATTATGATTCCTTTCTGGTAATTTTCTCAACCATTGACTCTACCGTAAAATTCTCTAATTCAGTAGTGAACAATTTATTAAAGGCTAGAAAATCTTTAAATCATACAAAATCATAGGTCCAAGGGATACAATGCCTACCAATATGTGACGTGTTTTGTGTCACTAAATAAAACATTACATTTTCTTTTTTTCATTTTCAATATCTCAGTCCGGACTTCTTACTTGTAACTGAGAAATTCTACGTCTAATTTCAGTTTTTTTAATCTTAGTTTCAGTTTTTTTTTATACTAGGTATCTACGGTTCAGTTAGCCCCTAAAATAAAATTTGATAACCCTATCCCCACCAGTAACGCATTAAGGCGCTTCGTCACCGGCAATTTATTAAGGGNCGTAAGATACAATTATTTATTTATTTATTTAAAGACTTTATTGCACACACAACAATGTTCAGTACAAAAAGGCGAGCTTAATGCCATAAGTCATTCTCTACCAGCTTGACCCTGTCGGGCACTGCATTTTAGGAGAGAGGAAGCTTGAGCGTGCTCATCTTCTACTTCTTCGCCTGTGCAACTTCGTTCACCAAATCGTGCCGTGTAAATCCCCTCAGGCGGTGCACACACCGGCCGATAATTAAAGAGGCCAGTGGATGATAAATAACGAACTGTCGGTGTTTTTGCCGCAGATGTCATTATCTCGACGGACTCTATCAGTCCGCGCGAGATTAAGGGACGTGTGTAGAGATGGTAACACCGATTGAGACGTTAATGTGATGAAATAATGAATAGAATAGGTTAAGCATAGGGCCCACTGTCCATTTAATATCACTCTTTCATACCTATGTTTATGAATTAATAAATGATTTGATTTGAAACGGAGACGAGGATAAAAATTACCTGTAGATTCCATGACGGAGATCTGAGATATGATTAACTTTTATTTTTTTATTCTATTACCTAATGCCTACAACGATATTATGAATAAATAGCCAAATTGAATTAAACCATTTTAAACTCGCTTCCACCTTCGGCCTGATCATCACTTACCATCAGGTGAGATACAGGCCAAGAGCTTCCTCGTTGTTAATAAAAAAAATTTAAAAAAATAATTGTTGAACTTACAAAAAAAACCTCTATAAGTTACTTTAAAAGCCGTACTGAAACTGAAAATAGAAGCTTAATAAAATCATGTTTTTTTAATCATTAAAAAGTCCATCACTTTTGTAGCTGTAACAACACTATACACATAAAGAAGTAAACAAAAGCTGAATAAAATCTTGTTTTTTTTAAATCTTTTTTTAAGTACTTTTTTAAGACTAAGTAGGTCACTTGTGTGGCTCTAACAACTCTATACATATCCCGTTCACGACAGCGTAGCGCATGTATAATCGAGAGGGTCGACTTGATGAGAGTGCGTGAGAGCTTTTTTGCTGTACGCGCGCACCCGCCCGAAAAACAAATAATTGGCTGGAAAAAATGTCGCCCAATTGCTTGTTAATTTTTAGACGTTACTTTTTAGATTGCTCGGCTTTCTCTGGTGATGACTCAAATACAGGTTAGAGGTTCGAATCCTGTTAGAGGCAAATGTTAGTGTTATGAGCACTATAAGCACGTTATGCTAACACTATGGCATTTTATGTAGTTATAATAGGAGATTTTCGAATAAAAATGTATAGTTTGTTGCTGTGGGTGGACTATACATATTTGACGTTATTGCTGGTAAAATGTAATAATTTATTTATTATTTCGAGAAAAATGAAATGTCTTTTTTAACCTACAAAGAAATAAAAAATATTAAATCTGAGCTTAAACAAAAAAAAAATTAAGTATAATAAGTATAATAATATTGGATAGATCTTTTACACAATTTAACTTTTGAGCTGCATGAAACCACAAAGCTATGTTTTGCTACTGTCTTTCATCATAAGCTTTACATATTTAAATCCATATGCTAATTTGACAAAACCTACAGATCCAGATGCAATCCAATGACGTAATTCAAAAATAAATATAATAGCAATCAACGCGTGGCGTAAAAACTGTAAATTACATCGCAGGAGCGCAATAAACAACACCTCAGACAATCGGACACGGCTCAAATATATTAAAAAACACTATTTATGGTGCGAGGCCTCCATACTCTCACTACGCGAGGCGGGACGCCACAGAGTTGCGACGCGCGACTGTTACGTCATTGTTACAGGCTTTTGCCCGCGTGAAATTGTATGGCACAGAAAAAAAATTGTCGCACGAGTCCATAATTCAAAAACCGGGTTAAAAACTGTCCTATCTCCTTTTCCGGGACTCCGACTATATCTATACCAAATTTCATCAAAATCGGTTCAGTGGTTTAGGCGTGAATGTGTAACAGACGGACAGATACAGTTACTTTCGCATTTATTATTATTAGTAGGGATTCTGTTTTACACATGAGAATGTACAACTTTATTTTCTTAACGCCACCACTTTAGTAATTAGTCTGTTGATGACTATCGACATGTGAAATGCAGTTAGTTTATTCATATCTTAACAACCAGCTATAATCTAGTTAAGTAAAATAATTACAATAATAAGCCACGAAGCTGTATCGCAGTAACTTCATTTTCAAAACGGAAAAGACAAGTCAAATTGGCAAAGGTTGGTAAATTAGTAGCAATTAAACTAACTTGATTATAATTAGTAATTTCGTCACCAGTAAGTATTACTTTCTTAGGCTGAGTTGAACCACCTAACTTTAACCGTAACTATAACGATAACCGGTGTATTTTGTATGGAGGTTGACAGTTTTTTGACATTTGTTTTAAGGTCAAAGTAAGATGATGCAACAATATACCTAGGCTAGAATACAGATCTTAGTAACATAGGTACGAGATTGCGTGAGCAATCATATTATTCCAAAATAGAAAATTCTATGCTGCGCAGGTTACCTGTTCTATTAAAATAAAATTGTCTATACTTAGTCGCATTACTGTGGCAATACATTCAAGTCCCATTGCTTAATTACGCCAGCTGAAAACCCATTTTGTATATTTCGAAATTGTGACCAGAGACATTTTTTGTGCTAATTTTTAGTTTACAAACTGAAATTATAAAGACATTATTTTTATTTGCAGATGATGGAGTTGTCACAGGCTCATTAGGACGGAAGAAGGGTGAGTAAGTTTGTTTGTCTACACTTCTACACTAATATTATAAAGATGAATTAATATCCTTGGATATTTTAGACTGCGCCTCTAGTCCCAAACTAAGCAAAGCTTGTAGGTACTGTGGGTACTAGACCACAGATATAATAAACTTACCTTTTTTTTTGTAAATACACGTTTATTAAAGATAGAAAACACACACATTAAATTTTACCATTTCACACGTACTACAATAACATTTCATACCATAAACACCATGTCAGCGTTTGCATGTAAGCAATCAATATTTAAACCTACTACTCCTCACCTACATGTATCAGATCATCTACAAACCATACAAATTAACCATAATTAAAATAATTGAATTTAGCGTGAAACATAAATTCACAATGTGCCTCAGGGACTACAGAAAACTACTATTAACCTTTACTGCAATAAATGTCTCCAGCGGTTCAGATGTAGTCGTAAATAGAAACATTTTACATAATGATTGGGTGGATTAAGCTTGTCACTAGGGCTGCCACTTAGAAAACACGTGAGGATACGTAAAAATGGTTGAAGCATACTCAACTTTTAGTTTCTGGATACTAATAACTTATTTCTATATAACTTGTTTCTTAACCGACTTCAACAAAAGGAGCAGGTTCCCAATTCAGTTGGTTTTTTCTTTAGTCTAATAGTATAGAGCTACAAATGGATTTCCTTCATTAATGCAAGTTTAGAAAATTTGAAAAAAAAAAAAGCTTAAAACCTTATATTTAAACATTTTTTCTTTCTTTCTTTCTTTCTTGATATCACCTGATAGTAAGAGTTTGGCATGACTTCATCAAGGGTATGGTAAAGCTTCTAGACTAGCTTTTCACCATTATTATGAGTCCTTTCTGGTAATTTTCTCAACCATTGACGCTACAGTAAAATTCTTTAATT